CTCGACAAGCTAATGACTAGACGCGACTCGAAGGTCGCATCTGCCCGAGAACCAACTGGCACTTACGGTTCTTTAGCATTTCATCATGATTTGCATGATTTGGCCCCCAAACTAAATGGGCTTTGTTGATGATAGCAAGCAATTGTTGGAAATAGCATTCCGGTCAGAATGAGCGACTGGGTTGACCTCACTGACGGCATGGATCTGGTTCAATTTGTTGCAAAATCTAGCTACCCATCCAAAAACCAACTTAAGCGGCACGGTACGACTTGAGTAATTCTTCGTATGTACCAGCCAAATTAAATAAACCCTCGTGTACTATTGTGATTTCAACTCGTGGCAATTTGGCGCCGTTTTTGTAGAATGTTCTTCCGGTGCTGTGAAGAGCATTTAGGCGAATAGAGCATTCCTTGAAATTGGGTAGACTTGGCGTAACCTCATCAAATGAGGTTGCCAAAGCGTAAAATTTTAACCACTGCGTGTTGCCATCACCTCCTACAGTCCCCCGCCATGACAACCGACTTTTGCGAGTATTTTCACAAAAACATAGCCCAGTTTAACTCTCCTAGATCGAATTGTTTACTCTCTCAGTTTACCAGATGACTAATTGAGTGATCATTGCCTGGAGCCATTTTACATGTAGGATATGATTCTTTCGGTAGCAAGTGGGCGGTAATCACTGGAATCTGTCCATTCCCTCTTCATTAGGGCTAGTGATATTGTGAGCAAAAACGAAGTGTCTTAAAGGTCAGTTTTGTTAGCAAGAATATTATCCAAGGTGCTACCTTGGCCCCATCGAATAACCGAAATCTTCTAAGAAATCTAAGATCCACAGAGCTGCCGTTTTTTGCAAATATGCTACTCCACTATCGCAACAACAACGCCTCGACTGAACTTTGCATCTGACACACACAAACACCCAGGAATACTCATTTTTATTTTCAATATAATGATGAGAATTAAATATGCAATACACTGTATATAGTAGCAGGTATGCAATGAAGGCTCAATGATTTAGTTGTATTTAAATTGAGGCCAAATTTCTAATAGAGACGTTCTAGTTATCCATCTGTTAACGTTAAATTTATGAATCAGCCAAGAATATACAAAGAAGACGTAAGTGGACATTAAAAGGTATTTGTATAAAGTAATTAGTAGACTTCCAGGTATAGCTTACCACGTGATATTGCGTAAATTATCTTATTCCAGATTTTAGACTGCTATGACAATATATTACAAAATTATGCGCAGCTTCAGTAGACTAAGACTAAGCATACACCCAAGAGCAGGATTTAGTGAAAATATTCGAATCAGTAAAGCTTATAACATTTTAGAGCATCATCTTGCTAACTTAGACCAGACCATTAACATTTTATTAAAAAGCTCTTCAATCCAAGTCTATAAAACAGGGAAAAGAGTAAATGATTAAAAAGTAATATAACCCAAGAGCTAGAAATGAAATGGACAAAAAATACCCGATTTTTGAAAAAATTAGGATGAGTAAAGGTGTCGGAAGGACAACAGCAAACAGCCTAGTCGTGAGTAAATAAGTGAACAAAAAAATTAAGTAATGTTGAATAAGGCAAATAGATATGAAAGACAATAAATGGAATAGACAATAGCCGAGAAAAAATTGCCTCGTAAGACAGCTTTTCGAAATATCATACAGCAATACAAAGAAAAATTCCGAAGAATGGTAAGGAGTATATGCGGATGCATCCACATAGCATAATAAGGAATTAGAAGTGGTGTGAAGAAATAACAATTGAGACAAAAACCCAGATTTGTCAGCACAAAAAACTTAATTGCACTGCATAAAATTCCAAGGGAATTAGTTGAAGCGAAGATTTCGCAGCAAATATTTGGGTCACACAAACGATTATATTGCTGTCTCAATCTAAGCTTGGTAGTCGTTGGCTAGAATCGTCAAAAATCTAATCTAGTGTCAAAACTAGAGATCGATTTGAGTTCAAAGACTTAAGACTCATCGTCAGAGTATGAGTATGCTTTCAGAAGGGATGAGTACTGATGATAATGAGAAGTGGCCCTATTACGACTGTAAGTTTGTCCAAAATTTTGAGGAAAATCCATTTGTATTGACTTCTCGTTGGCCCTATCTGCTGCCTCTGTTGAAGCAGTTCTCAGGAGTCCAGAAATGTCATCATTAGATCTCGCATGTCGGCTAAACAAGGGAAGTCCGGGGGCAGGACAGTGACTATGTAGATTTTGCTGATGCCGAGAAACTGAGGTCGCTATCCCGATCCGATAGAAGGACGAGTTAGAACGCTGGAACAGGGAACTTAAAAACCGCCCTACGGGATTCGAGCTACCTTGGGCAGGAGCATTGGCTGTCGAGGATTCTTTATCAGAGGAGCGATGTAAAGGCATGGCAAAAGGTTTCGTGCTCGAACGAGTGGTATTGGAAAGTTTTCCTAATAAGAAGATAAATAAAGAGAAAACATATAAAAGAGTAAAGGGAATAAATAGAAATATAAGAAAAGGCAGTAATAGGGGAAAGTACAAAGCTAGAGATGGTGAATTACAAAAGGGGAGGAAACTGGAGAAAAATTATGTTGAATGCTAAGCAAAAAAACATCATCTTCTAAATAACGCATATATAAAGGTGATGATTAGATTAGGTAATGGACCCATATTAAACAATAAAACTTGGCTCTAGTAAAGAAACCGAACTCAGTTTTTGAAAAGCATCCAAAGTGAGAACCTTACCAAGAACCTTCCTTCATCTGGACTTGAGATCTATGAACTTAAATAGCTTACGCCTCCCAGTCTCATAACTTTCCTCTAATTTCTGGATAAAGTATTTCATTAACTGTGTCCGAAAGACACTTCCTCATTAGATTGCAGAAACGGGGAACGATACCATAATGTTTGTAACAATTCAAAAACACTCCGTTAATTCTGAATGAATTTGTGAGTAGATATATTCGGAAAATCTAGCTTCAAAATACACTACACTACCTATCCGCGTGTTTATCCATCCATCAACTCGCATTTATCTACTTAATCATTAATTCGTAGATATGAAGACCAAGATGGTGTCGCTCTCTATTTGGTCGCAGTCTCATATAGCTTTATAGTGTTGGTTAGACCTTATTTTTGCAACTTGTTCGAGAATGTACCCAGCCAATGGTACAATGCTGGAAATCCCGAATACTATGGCAAAGGACACGGGACTAAGTAGGTTGCACAAGGTCTCTCTGACGCTCCGACCAAGTTGCGAAAACAAGGTCGAACCAATATTATCAATCATTAATGTTTATATGCAGATTGTTTTTACAGTAATTTAATAGGGACATGCAACAGTCAAAGAAAAAAATTCCTAACAATATATGTTTACCTGGGCCATCCTTGGAATTTAGAGGTTTAAAAGACCCACAGGGAACAAAGGAAACAAAAAGTGCCACAAGTCGTCGAGGCCAACTTTTAACATCATGAGTTTGGCTAACTCCTGAAGAGGCCAGAAGATGAAGTATCAAGTCAATGAAAAGGCAGAGGCTCAGACATGAGGCGAAAAAGAAGGCAGTGGCTGGAACTGCATGAGAGACAATGTGTTCTCGAGACCAATGTAAAGCATAACCGGCGAGTGCAGGCAAAAATGCTTGTCCAGCCAGTCCAGCAACCAAAAGACGAGCCGAAGTAGTCAAAGATGTCCCAATGCCAGTGCTACTGCCAATAGTTGCGAGAGCAGGTAATGATGTAACCGAAAAGGGTGGAGAAGCTAGAAATGGAGTTGCTGTGATGCAGAAAGAGAGTCCAGCTCCCATAGAGAGGCTAGCCAAAAGACTGCCAATATAATACAGTGTTGAGGGTCCTGAGGAAGTAGAATCGGAATTTTCAACCGAAGTAAAAGAAAGTAGTCCAAGAGTGCAGCTTGTGGTAAGAAGACAAAGACAAGCCCCTCCAAAGCGCAGCAGTGGGCGCCGAAGTCCAGAACTGGTGGGGACAAATAAGATAACAGACAATGGGAGATGGAGATAAAAGGGCAGGTATTATCTTAAATAATTTTGACAATATTCTTCATATAAAATATCTGAGGAATTTATGAGAGTAAACCTGGACATAAGTTAATTGATATCCTCAAACACGAGATTTTTATTACAAATTTCTAGAAATCTTCTAAGAGGCTTCTAGACAAACAAGATAACATACTATGCTATCCTTACATGCTGATGAATGAGTCCATACATGAGTAGTGTAGTAGACAAGTGGCTAAAAAATTTCAGAATTGGTACAACCTTGTTCTTGTAAAGTGGCCTGAACGACAGGGAGACCTTGCGGAACGTATCAAGCTCCGCGCCCTCTGTCATAGTTTTAAAGATGAGTAACGGCATCAAGCAGTAGACTTTTCCAGACGTTTCGTCGGCGCCGTCGGTAAGAAGGGCTATCTTTAGCACAGTTGCTACTTTTTAAAGTGCTATTCTTAACCCACTAACTAGCCCCTTAAATGATTGTCAAATATCCCAGACAATGAAAAAAGGCATTCATTAGCACGAAGGCTACGACTAAAGCTTATCTTGGAACCATTTTCTCCGTGAGGATTCTGAGCAAGACCAGTCTACTCAAACGGTCCGATACGCTTTCAAGATTGCAGCGAACACGAAGTGGCGACCATCATGCAATCCGTCAACTTCAGCATGTTCAATGGAGTCTAACAAGAGAGTTGTGCAGGACCACATCTGCTGTCGGCACTTAGGATGCTTAGGAAAAACTAACAAGACGGTAATTTTAGGAGGCCTCGTCGTGGCGAAAATACCCAGCAAATGTTGTGTAATGCTCAACGTTAGGTGATGCTTTCTCGCATAGCCTCCCTATTTTCTGAAATTTTAGTGCCCATGTAAAGAAAGTTAACGACGTGTTTGCCTCAAAGTTAGGAGATCATGAAAGACGTTTGCCTCCATCAGTCGACTTACGGCGGTAAAACTTGTTCAAACGCAAATTAACTCTCCAGGCAAGGAAGCTTAAGAAAGATGGATCACCAAAGTTGTTGGAGCAATGAATGGAGAAAATGTAATGGAAAAGTTGTTTCAAAAAGTTAGTGTCAAGAAGACATAAGACTGGTTCATAAGCAAAACTAATAACCTGATGCGTAGACTTGCTATACGAGTGTCAATGGAGCAAAGATGCTTTGCTCTGCCAATAAGCTGAGTTCAAGGAGCTTCAGTCAAGATTTCTACCACCAGAACTCCTGAGAATGAGACCCTTGCAGAGTTTGCCCCCTCTAGTACGATTCAGTGGCGTTCGAACAATCCATCATCGCACAATCAATGAAGGTTATTTTTCCAAAACAATTGAATAATCCCGAATAAGAAACTTATTCAGCTTAAGTTATTTAGGGTGATTTAAGAGTGATATAGAATTTAGCACAATGAAATCAATTATTCGCGCAGTCATCAAAGGGCTGTAATTAAACCTAGGATGAAATTAAAAAAGTAACATAAGTATCTGTGAAAGGTAAACTTGACGATAAACAGTAAATATTTTAAATTTCACAAGTAATTAACAAATCCTACGCGAGACCTCAAGGTTAACTCAT